CCTGCCTCTGTGGGCTTGGTTTTGTCCCAGTGCCATTCCCTTTTTTCATTTATTTCCAGGAGAGAAGAATCTTGGAACTGAGAAACAAGTGGGACCCCAAACCTCAGAGTCCTTAGTAGTTTGCTGGAAGTCAGCCTCTACAGGGATGATTAGGTGTAGTTTAGCTAGTGGAAATTAATTAGAGAGCCATCCTGATTTTCTAAACTAGAAGAGACAGACAACAAAGAGACAGACACAAAGAGAGGAAAGGGAAAGAAAGGAGCAGGAGGAGGAGGAAGAGGAGAATAAGATGAAAAGAGAGGAGAGAAGAGAAGAGAAGAGAAGAGGAGAGGAGAGGAGAGGAGAGGAGAGGAGAGGAGAGGAGAGGAGAGGAGAGGAGAGGAGAGGAGAGGAGAGGAGAGGAGAGGAGAGGAGAGGAGAGGAGAGGAGAGGAGAGGAGAGGAGAGGAGAGGAGAGGAGAGGAGAGGGACCAGGGGACCAAGGGAACAACGGTGAGCAGTAGCCATGTGATACCAACAAGCAGGAATGTCTGGCAGAGAATACGCAACCTTAGTCTAGCATAAGTATCCCTGGCAGACACTATTTGCCTGATGGTAACCGCATACCACACAAGACCAATGGGGAAAAGACCTAGTATGAACAGTATTATTAGAGCATCAGAAAGTATCAGCAGCTTTGTAGCATTAAAGGTGTGAGATGCCACTCCACTTTGTACCCGGTCCACATATGTTTCTAACATGTGCTCCCCTCCATACATACCTCAACATACCTACTTGTTCCATTGATGACATGTGTTTTCATGGGAAAGTTATACTTTAGGTTTATAAGGAGAAATGCTTTGTCGATATTTTTCTCATTATTCAATTTCATGAAATACTTTGCTTTGAAACTGCATGTGCTTCCTAGCCTACAAGCTAAGTTAAATTCATCAGTGGAAACTTGTGAGCTTTGATTTTAAGTGAATTCAGAACCACAAGAGTATCTTCAACCCAGGGTAGCCTTGTTTGGGGAAGCACCTATGTAAGTTGGTGGTTCCCCAGGTGTTACACATCTATGATTTTGCAAAAGATTTAACATCAGAAACAACTTTGTTCATCATTACTTTGATTATAATTGTCAAGTGAGACATAAACTAGGGAGTTGTATTTTTTTTTTTTTGGTGAGGCAACTGGGGTTAAGTGATTTGCCCAGAGTCACACAGCTAGTGAGTGTTGTGTGTCTGAGGCCAGATTTGAAGAGATGTATTCTTATTAAAGGTGTTTGCCACCATCATGAAGGATGCCTAGGACAGAGCTCAGTAGAAAGAGGGATTCCCCATGGATGGCAGGGTATTCCAGATACTCCTATTTAGAGATGACATTTATTGACTGTGTTAAGTCCTAATATGGAGATGCCTCATGTAGCAAACATCTTATCTCCTTGGCAAGCAGAGAAATTTGGCAACCAAAAGCATTACCAATTTAAAATGTAAAATACTTAGTAAAATCTTAGGGAAGAAGATAGCAGTAGATAGGTAGTATAATAATTATAAATATAATGTGTGACCCCAATTGCCTAATAATAAATATAAAAATAAAATGTCCTTTGATTTTTGAATCTACATAACTATTTTAGAAAGAATTATTGTTCCAGCCTATGCAGTTGGGGCCATATAAGATTATCTATGTCATGAGGACTATTCTGAAACTCTTTTGTACAACACACTAGGGAAGGCACTTGAAAGGGTAATGCTTGAGCTATATCAGGTCCTCATAGAAGTTTCTTGGATTGAGGATATGAAAAAATGCCTTCAAATTATACACTGGTCCATTTGCTAGGAACAAAGACTGGCCTGGGAGAGGGAGGATTCCTCAAAGCATGCACAGATATTCCCTGCTTGGTTTCAGCCCAAGCAACAATGTGGAAGCTTGGAGTGAGTGCCTGAGGGGCTGGTATAATATACTACTGAGCTGGAAGAACTCCTGACTCAGAGGTTGCTGAGCCAGCACTGAATAGATTTACAAAGGGGTGGCTGGCCCTTTCATGTTTTTTTCCTTCATGGCTGTGAGGAGGGAGAAGTAATTTAAATATGGTCCCAAGAATAAGGTGGGGATTGGGTGACACTCTGTTTTCTACAGCTAGTTATGGTAATCATGAGCACATGAAGATTCATCTCTTTTTAGTATTATTTTTGTACTCTTTGTGGGTCCCATCAGAAGCTAGGCAGTGGCAGTAGCTACCAGAATGGTAGTGGCTGACAAAGGTGGAAGTGGCTACAGATGGGCATGGAAAGATAGCCACTAGAAGAAAGTGGTAGCATCAGGAAGTGTGACCCCTTGTGATTGGCTCAAGAAAAGCAGGGGTTTTGGTGCCCAGAAGAGAGATGTACTTAAAGAAAACTTCATGAGGAGTACATAGAGGAAGAAAAGGCACCACAGACAGACAGTATTGCTTTGCCACACATGTTCTCTCTATGTGTGCGTCACTACCATTTTACTTTAAATTTGAGTTCACTCTCCTCATGGGCCTCGTATGTATTGGTGGGGGAATATATTTCAGCTTCCTACTCTAAACAACCTCACAAATACATTTTTCTGAAAGCTAATTATGTGTGGCTAATTGTTAATGATAACTATATGAATATAAGCTTATGAGCAATAGCACTAGAAACCCATCCCTGAAAGGTTATCGACCTAGAACCATGAAAGCAGATAGTACTATAGGCCTCTGGAGACTCAGTATGCCAGTAGCAGAATAAGGTGAGGGACTGGCTCCAGATGGGTATGCTGCATTATGTTTAATATTAATAAAAATTTACTTTAAAAACAAACAAGTGGGCTACTTGTGAACATCTGGACATACATTTCTCTAAGTAAATAAAATATGACTCTCAATGCAACATCAACAGATCAGTCAGCCTTCACAAAACTGAAACATCAACTATCAGAATTCTCATGTATCAGCTTTCAGCTTCCTTCTAGAGTTTCTAAGCTAGCCCTACCAGATTCCTTTAAGACCCAGTCAGTCAAAAAACATTTATTAAGCACTTATTATGTGCTAGGGGTGCAAAGAAAGGCAAAAAATAATCCCTGCCCTCAGGAAGCTCACAATCTATTACAAGAAGACAATACATTAAAAGAAGCTGAAAAGTGGGGGATAGTGAGAAGAGTATATGATGAACATTTGCAGTCAGATGGGAGATGAGGCATCAATACCAGGCTCCCACCTTAATAGAATATCTGGGAAGAACTCTCTGATGTGCACCCTCCACCTCAACAGTCAGAGAGAGGAAGGGGGGGGCAGCAAGGTGGCACAATGGATAGAGCACCGGCCCTGAAGTCAGGAGGACCTGAGTTCAAATTTGACCTCAGACCAAACACTTGACACTTACTAGCTGTGTGACCCTGGGCAAGTCGCTTAATCCCAATTGCCTAAAAAAACAAACCAAAAAAAATCCAGAGAGAAGGAAGAAGGGGTCCCAGGGTCAAGGAGGAAGGACTCAAGAGCAATGAGTTACTGGAGACAATAGTAAAGTCCAGAAAATCAGCTGGGTGGTAGATGACCCACTGCTACTCATTGCTACTAATTCTGTTCTCTTCCATGTTTCAATGCAGGAGAAAAAATGCCTGAAATATTTTCTGACTTGTAATACTGATTCTTCAACATGAGCAACATTTCAGCAATACAGTGAATAATGTAAATTAGATTCAAAGACATAGGGATGGGTAAATAGGGATAAAGATAAGTTGGTCACTCCTGAAAACCTGCCTAGTAATTGATATTCTAGTCAAAGTTTGTGCCCACTATCAAGTATACCCAAATAAATCTGAGTAGTGAAAGGGGGCAAGGACCTCTTTGTCTAATCAGTGGGGAGGGAAACAATCAGGAATTGCCTTTTCCCTGGCCACAGACATTTGATTTCGCAATTCCCTCCACGGCAAGCTATGTTAAGGTATTGACTCCTGCTTCCACCAGAACTCTTAAATGCTTCTGGACTAACAATCTTTATCTCTGCTTATTGATGATACCTTTAATCTGTTCTCTACTGCTTTCCACCTTATCTCCCCTCCCCATGGAACTACTAATTACTGTAAGCCTGGATTTCACCTAAATGTTTGCTGCCATTTCCAATTGCACACTTCCTAGTTTCTCACTGTTTATCTAGCCTTACCTCCTCCTTTTATCTTCCTTTTTGCTCTGAGTGCCCAATGTTTTCTGCCATTTCCAATTGCACACTGCCTAGTTTCTCACTGTTTATCTAGCCTTACCTCCTCCTTTTATCTTCCTTTTTGCTCTGAGTGCCCTCTTGGTTCTTGTCTGCCTACCTGACATCTGACCCACTGCATGCCCAGACCCTTATTCTAAACGACTGTCTTGATTCCACCTTCCCTTCCCAACCCTGACTATTTCTTGCCTATTCTGATCTCTGACATTACCTGAGCTATTTGCTTTCTCTAACTCCTCACTTAATACTACAGACCTGCTGCCACCTACATGCTGGTATGACATGGATAAGTGTTTTTTTATACAAATAGTTATTTAAGAGCAAACTTAACATGTTTAGAGAAATTAAATACATCAGTGATGTAACTGACCATACTATTCAGCTATTAAATATGATGATTTATAGGGATAGCATTGGTATTAAGAAGAGTGACTTAATACATCTGATTCTTCATAGCTGCTCTTCAAAAAATGAGTTTTATATGTTGAAGAAAGACATCACTCAACTAAGCATAATACCATTTAGTATATAACTGCTTACTCAGGAATAACAAACACTGGAAAAACATAACTATATATATGAATACAATTAATGATTTTCTATGAAAGTCCAAAGAACTCTGAGAGAAATTAGGGTGGACTTAAAATTTAATTCATAGTCTATTTCATATCTATTCCTTTTTGATTTGTTATTCATAGGAACATGTATTTGCACGAGAACCCCAAAGCACAACACATCAATCTAGTCAATCCTATCAAATAACAGACCAATTCATTTAAAATTGATATTTGGTAGATTCATTTAATTGAATTTTTATTTTTAAACAAATTTTATTACTGGTTCAGATGCAATTTTTCTTTATTTGTTAAGACAGATGCTTGTGGTTTATGTCTAGTAATATGAGGAAAAGAAGCTGGAGATAGAGGAAGAGGGAATAACTAACAGAACAAAGAGTAGAATTGGTAAATGCAGACATGAATCAATACATATTATGCTGAACACAAAAAATTTTGGGGATTAATGGTTTCTTAAGCTGTAAATTTATTTTTCAGAGTATTTATATAGAAAATTTAACATTTTAGCATACATAAATGACTACATATACCAACTCTGTGAAATTGGTCATTATTTTAACAATGGAGGGAATGAAACAAGGAAGTTAAATGATTTTTTTTTCCAAAAAAAGACAACTATTAGAGATAGAAATGAAATTAAAAGTCTTGAGTTCATTCTACATTGTCAAAATGGGAACATGCTCTTCCACTCTACTAATAAGGCCATTTAAAGGATGCTAAACACAAAGGTACATTAAAATCACTGCCACACTACATTTGGTACATTAAGGCCTGCAATGAAAACACATACCAGAATTGTCCCTAGTAAAATCCACTAGGTACAGTGCATATGGTTCCCTCCTATGTAGGGTCAGATTAATATAAATAACTACTTGGATTCCCTTTGAAACAACGAAAAAATCTGCAAAAAGGATCTACATGAAAAAGGAAAAAACTTAGGACTGCCTGGTAGAGTAACTGCAAACAGAGATCTGATTTATCAAAGTTCTGGAACTAAAGCTGGAAGAGACGAGCTCATCCAATTTAACCCCTTCATTTCACACATAAAGGGACCAAGTCCAGAAACTGCAGTAATTTGTCCAAAGTTCACACAGCTAGTAAGTGGTAGTGTGAGGATTAGCAATGGTGGTAGTGCTAGGAATTCAGATTCTCTTAATTCAAATTCATTATTTATTCTACAATATCTTTGCAGCAAGACTTTTAAAATTCTTTTGGCCTACTTCCATGTATAGGACACATAGAAAATATAGGATATTCTAGCAAATTTCTGAAGTACAGTGATGCAGGAAATGGTATAGATACATTTTATAATTTAAGTCTAGATAAAGAAATGATATTAATAAATTAGCAACTTTGGGATCCAGTCTTTTCAATCTAGGCAAGGTATTTCCACATTGTAATACCTGATTAAAAAGATGACTCATCATTCTTTATTTAAATAAATGTATTTTTACTTATGCAAAACGATGAAAATATTTTAACTTGTTAAATTTATTAAATTGTCAAGAAGCATAAAATAATGGTACTTTAGCATTTCTTTGCTCCATACACCATGCTGCTGTTGCACTGAAGGCACTGAGTTCCATTATGGGGGTTATAAGTTCCAGGTTTGCAGATCACTGTAAATAAAGAAAAAGTTAATAAATAAAGTATCTCTAAAAGGCCATTTGTGATATAAACGACTTAATTAGGTGATACATTCTCTAACATTTGAGTCCAGTAACATACAAAGGAGTTCGTGTTAGTTTCACATTTATGTGAACTCTCAATATTTTATTCCACAGACTGTAAGGTACCTTAATTGTTAATGAGGTCAGGTGTTTGCAGCACTGCTAAAACATTACCTTGCAGAACAGATGCATATAAACCATAGCCTACCAAGGAAAGTTATATTGAAGTTCACAGGAGGATGATAAATTATGAGCAGCTTAAACTAGGAAAACTCCTGCTGATATTAACAGGAATAATACATGAAACCTTTAGAATCAAGTTCTAAATAACTTAAGTGTTATCTTGAAAAAGGAAGGATAAAAGCATCAGATAAGTACAACATACTCTGCATTTGTATAGGTCCTTTTATATATACATTCTTCCTACTATTGATTGATCAGAAAATATTACAAAAAGCAAAACATTAAAAGTATAAAATGGGTCAAAGGTAAGCCCAGCAGCAAGAACTTATTTGACTTATTTTATACTTTTTAAGATCATACTTAAATTATTCACAACTTGATTCTAAGGTTTCATATATTTTCTCAATTTTTACTAGACAGAGTAAACTAGGAGCAAAGGCAGTTGAAGTGGAAGCAAGAACAACTCTAATTACATAGTCTCCATAGAGGAAACAGTTCCTTGACTAAAGAGAAGGGAAAGGGGGTGAGGTTGAGTATGAATCAGCAAGCTCAAGGGGCCGTTTTTGCCCAGCTAAGCATTTATATTCTTATTCCCAGATCAATATTAGCAGATACATAGGCTAAAACAATGTAAGAGCCCATTTTTTGAAGTCCTATCTTCATCATCTTGGGTGCTGTCAAGTCTTACTAACTGTAGACTATCTCATATACTAGGCCTGTTTGGAGATAACTCTTCTGGCCAGCAACCTTAAGGGTCTCCCCCTCCCAGTTTGATTTTTTTTTTCCCCATTAAAGGGGCCATCCCTTGACTCACTTCTTAAAGAGGCCTATTCACTGAATGGGTGTTACCTTACTTAAAGTGGGAACCTGAAAAGACCTTAGCTCATAAAGGCCAGGGTCTCCCATTGCATCCTGGGCCATCTCCAGTCCTCCTGATGAATATCTGGCCACTGGACCCAGATGGCTCTGGAGAAGAGAGTGAGGCTGGTGACCTTGCCCAGCCCTCCCTCACTCAAATCAAAGTCAACTTCAAGTCATGTCATCATCTCCCTGATTTCACGGTCCTCTTCGAGAACAAAGGACAAACACAACAACAACACAACAATCTGTTGCTTATAACCAGTTAACATTAACTCAAGTGTCTTTGGTTAAACATGCTTAGTAGGTCTCTTTCCTGATTCACCCCCTTTTTCTCCCCCTACTTCTACTGAAAATATTTTTCATTACTTTGTATAGATTTTATATTCATTGCCCTCTGTTGTACACTTTGTATCATCACTCTGCGCACACACACACACACACACACCACACACACACACACACACACACACACACACACACAGAGCTCCTTAAGGACAAGAAGTGATTCACTTTTATTTCTATCCCCAGAATCTAGAATAGTGTCTTAAATGTGGCAGGTATTTAATACATGTTTCTTTGAATCACTGTTCTATAGTGGAAGGCCAGTAAAAGTTACCTGTGACTAAAATAACTAAAATTCACATTGGTGCAGAAGTACAAATACTGTGAAACTTTTGTTGGCATGTATATGTGTTTGAGTACACATGTGCAAGGGAGGAATGTAGGAGATTTGGTTACATCAAAGGACAAAGTTGAAAGTGGCATAAATGTAATGTAATGCTATAAGTGTACAAGTTCACTGCATGTGATATCCTGGGAGATAGGAAATGATAACATTTTTAATCACAATAAAAATGTAATCTATTTATTGACTACATGCAAAGAGCTATAGAAGATACAAATAAGTATAGACATGGGGGACTTCTATATTAATAAGCTTTGATTCTAAATTGGGATGAAAAGACATAAGCACACAAAATGATTATTTAAAATTTGAAGCAGTACTTGACTGACAATTGGTATAAAGAAACAATCAGTTTCCTAAGACTTAGAGGAAAAAGAAAGTTCTTTAGGTTGGAGCAGAAAAGAGAAACTTCATTAAGGTGAAAGATAGCTAGGATTTAGGTAGATGGAGAAGGCATTTTTTTTTCTTTTGAGGAAGCATGTTGTACAAGATAAATAGCATGTTCAAGAGCCAGAAAGCAGACAATGTAGCTGAAAGAAAGGATTTCTGATAAGGGAATGTGATGGTAGGAAGAGAACAAAGGACAACTGAACAAGGAGATTTCAGAGAGATGAAGTAAAACACTGTAGTGTCACAAAAGGGAAGAGAGGAAAGAGTTTCAGGTGATGATTAACAATGTCAAATGTTGCAGAGTTTAAGGAGAATTAGAACTGAGCACAGACCATTGGATTAGACAGTTCAAAGGTCACTGGTTGTGACAGTGCAATTTCCAGAAAGAAACTGAGGCAGAAACCAACTTGCAGAAATCATAAACCTAAAGTTGGACCTTAGAAGTCATCTAATATGAACCCATTTTACAGAGGAAACTGAAGCCTGCTGTCTGGACAATGAGGTCACTTGCCCAAGGTCAATGGGGTATAAATGCCAGAAACCACATGTGAATCCCCGTCCTTGGATTTCCAGTCAAGTGCCTTATCTGATGTTCTGATACGCTTCATCTGACGATGTTCAGCACCACGCTGCCCTGAATGACTAAAGAAAGTTATTCTGCCAGACGCAAGTATGATTTCTACTCCTGGCTGCATATACACCAGGCCACTTTGGCTATCCAGAGTCCCAGAGAATTGCCACAAAACCAAAAGGCAGAGGTATAAAGGACAAGTTAGAGGCTTCCCATGGTGTTCAATCTTATTCCTCCTCCCAAAAAGCACTCTAAAAATTGACTCTGATGTTGATTTCCATGTTACTATAATAAATACCTCTTCCATATGATTGGCACTTTTTAAAAATAATCTTCACACATATGGTCACATGTTGATATCCTCACAACCACCTTTGAAGTAGGTAAGGCTGATGGTGTCATTCACATCTTACAGGTCAGTTAAGAGAGACCAGAGACGTTTAAGGTCACCTGGGTACATAGTGGTGGGGCCCAGGTTTATTTTTTAGCTTTTCTTCTAGTGTTCCTTTCATTACATTATACTGCCTCTCAAACAACCTGGTAAGAGTTGCCTCTGGCTTTCCCACACAACTGATCCAAGTAAAAAATTATTTTTCATAAATTGGAGGATAAGATGAAAATAGTGCCAATAGTAAGAGACCAGTGTGGAGGTAAAGGTTATGGTTTTTTTTAAAGGGGGGGGGTTGAGAAGCTATTTGCAGAAATTCAGCATCAGAAAGCCCTTTAGAACATAGAAGGTCAAAACACCCTAGAATAAGAGACTTGAGAATGTATATATAACTGAATAATGCTGAAATGAAGTGGTGAATATAGATAATTTACTAGAAAGTGAAACAGAATCATATCTAAAAGAGGAAAAAGGTCAAATAAAGATTTATTACCAAGACATTAGAAATGTATACACACTTTTAGTCAGTGAGAACCTAGAAGGAGAAATTGAAGATGTTACAATGTAGGAACAATTTTGGTAGAAAGGTCATAAAGGTTGAAGAGATAGGATCAAGAGCACAGGTGGAAGAATGATCCTTGAAAAGCAGGAAAAACTTACCTTCCTCAGAGCATCAGAGATGATGTGGAGATGGCTAATGATAAATGAATAATCTGAGTTGGACAGCAAGGTGTATTGAGGGGTTCTACACCACATAATCTCTTTGTTCTTACTAAAATTTAGAACAAAATCATGTTCCAAATGACAGAAGGGGTTTGAGCCTCGCAGGAATGAATAAAGGTTTGGAACAGATGCTTTCAGTGATAGGCTAAAGGATCAAGGAGAAATTGGAGGTGGGGGGAAGTGCTATTTTTGCAACCCAAGATGAGCAGAGAAAGTGAACAATATGATGAATTCATTCTGTGTCTTTTGGTTGAAAGTATGAATCTGGATGTAGAATGTATAATTTTCCTGGCTGGTGCTATGACATATCAATGATGTGAGAAGAGTGTGATAATGAGGCAGTTTTAAGGCTTCTTTCATGGAATGAGGGTGAGGTTGTACAAGTGCTACTGGAGAAAAGAATGAGAATTAAAAGTTTGCATAAATCTAGAGGCAGCATACACAAAATATGGCTCCAAAAAAGAGAGCCGAATGCTGAGAACACAACATGTATAGTCATGACTAAGCTTAGAGCTTCCAACAAACAAGGGAAATGGGTTGGCAGAGCCAGGAAGTCTAGATGGTATATTTTATGACTGATTTTGGATTCCTGGAATAGGATCACCAGTTTAGGACCTGGAAATACTGTGAGATTATAAATTGTGAATTTTGTAGATTTTTAGCCTTCCCTTGACACACTAGAAAAAGTATACAAAGACTTCTGGATCACATGATTAACAAGTGGAGGACTAGATATTTTCTCTGATCCTGTCAACCTCTCAAACTTCTTCAAAACAGAAATTATGCACCAAACATAAACAACTTCAGCTGCTCCATGATTTAGGAAACCTAGAATCCAAAAGAAGTCTAAAAAGTAAAGCAAGACAACTGATTACAACATTGAGTTCATTGGGCAAACCTCCTTTACCTCCTGAGCTACTGGCTGTGAGGCTGCACTTAGCTGACCCCAAGGACAAGCACCCTCATGCAGGCTCCCAACAAAACTGATGCCTGGTCCCTGGTCCCCTCCTCCCTCCTCCCTCTCTCCAGTGCTGTGGAGATCCCAGCTTCAAGCTGCAGAATTTTACTCAGCTATGACAGCCAGGCAACACTTTAGCAGCTTTCCAGGAGTAGAAGTTGGGGGAGGGGAGAAAAGGGGAGGGAGGGAG